AGACTTCCGGCCGGGTACGGCCTAAGGACCTCGGAACTTCTAGCAGAAGTGGAAGATGACATACAAGAATACATCGAGAGTGTTTCCACGATGACAGAAGACGAGAAAAAGGCTGAAGAGGCTTACAAGCAAGCTAAAGAAGAGTCGGAACGCTACGAGCAAGAACTCAAGAAGGAGATGCAAGAAAAGCTCGAAGCAAAGCTGAAGAGCGTCCGAGAACTCGAGGAAGAAGCAGTGGCAGCAAGGGCAGATGTTGAGAAGACGGTTAATGTGAGAAGTGCTCTACAAAAGCTAGGCGAGGTAGTTCAGACGGCGGACAAGCTACTGTCAGCTCTGAGCGAAGAGTTCAAAAGCCTAGATTTGTACATAAGGCCCGAGCCAGATCAAGAAAAGGAGAGAATTGCTTTAGCAAAGCGATCAAGAGAAAACGCGAAACAAGCAGCCCATCAACGCCAGCAACAAAGGCAAAGCCAATGCCAAAGAAGGTGCCAAAGTTCCTCAAGGAAGGAATTACGGATGAAGAGAGAAAGGCAGCGAATACCTTGGAGAAGCAGTTAGCTTTGAAAGACAAGCTAAGATCATCATTCAAAGAAGCCACGGATGAAGCAATAGAGAAAGCAGCGAAGGCAAAGTTGGATCACAGCAAGGAGAAGCCAAGCGAACCAAAGGGTACGCCACCGACCAAGGTGAACCCAATATGGCTCAAGAATCCAAGAGAAGAGTCGTTCAAGAAGACCAAGTACTTGCATTGCTTCTATTGCAAGGCTACAGACGAGCATAAAGCTCCGGAATGCCCGGAAATGGAGAAAGCTGTTAAGATGTACTACGATGGAAAGACCTGACAGGGACAACAGCGAGCGAAGAATCTTTTGCAAATTTTGCTTTCTGATGTTTTCACACATCAATCACAGAAGCTTCAAGTATAAGGGCTGGGGTACACATACCCCGGACATCTGCAAATACAAAGACGACGTTAAGAGTTACTTGAAGAGCAATGAGTATAAGTTCAAGAACGAGTTGAAGGATATCCGAGAAGAAGAAGAAGAAGCTCAAGGCAAGCAAGGCTATACCCCGAAGGACAGTTGGGGCACAGAGCCGAAAAAGCAGAAGAAAAGTGATGAAGCACAAGCCGAAGAAAAGGCAGATGAAAAGGAAGAGAAAAAGAAGAAGACAGCCGACAAGTCCAAGAGCAAGGACAAGGAGAAGAAGGCTGAAAAGGAGAAGAAGCGAAAAAGCGAATCCCCGTTTGATCAGAAGCGTGCCGAGAAGCGGCAGCGCGGGGAAAAGGAGTTGATGTAAACCAAGGTTGCGGTTTAACAATCAAGAGAAGCAGTGGTGAGGGCGGAAAAGCCGCCCAGGCAAAGCGTGAGGGCGGAAATCGCCCAGGAGCAAGCAAAGTTTCACAGTGCATGAAAGAAGGGGCAGTAAGGCCTATCCTTTCGTGTGAAAAGGGAGAGCTATGCTGAAAGTGAATTCCAAAGAGAAGAGCGGAATTTCACGGAAAGGCGTTCGACGCCACTACAGCAAAAGCTACAATGCACGTCAAAGCACAACGAGCACGACGAAAGTGTTTCAAGAAGAGCGGTAAGTGCAGAGAAAGCCGCTAAAGTTTCCAGTTGCCGAAGAGCAAGCCTGGACCTACATCGCGAAACGCGACGTGAAGAAAAAGTGAGTGCGCTTTAGATTCTGAGTGAGTCACATGCCAATCGTGTGTGTGTGTGTGTGGAAATTCACGCAAATCTGTTATAGGACATCTGAAGATTGAGGATGAAGACAAAAGAAGGAAGAATAAAGATGTTCAAGAAGTGCTTAAAGAAGCGTGCGAGAAGAGAAGATCAAGCTCACAGGAGCATGCGAAAACAGTGGTAGATGCAGGAAAAGTTTCACAAGGATCGCATTACACGACAAGGCTGTGTATGCGATGAGGGCGTAACAGATAGTTCAATTTTCCCTCATGCCCATTTACATACAGGAATCCAGTGTTTCACCGCAGGTCAAACGTAGGCTCAAGACAGCCCGACAGCGGAGCACGGAGCGAGAAAAGAATCCAAGCTCGCGCCGTGGTTATAAGAAGTATACTGGTATGAGGGTTTAAACTTTCAGAAAGTCATTCCTTTTCCTTTCTTTCCTTTGTATCCTTTGCTCTTTCCTCTGCCTTTTCCTTTGTACCTTCCTTCTCCTTTGAATCCTTGTGATTTTCCCTTGTACATTCCGTTTCCTTTCTTTCCTTTTCTGCCCTTCAACGTGCCTATGTCCATGTCGACTGGGGCGTTATTCCTGCTTGGCATTGAGAGATGTCTACTCTTGATGTAGCCGTACACAATCTCCAGTACCTCAGTGAACGTGTTGGTATTCCTGACATTCAATCTCAGGTGCTGCTGCAATGAACCAGTCGTCTTCTGCATGATCAATGTAATCAACAGGTCATTGTCAATCGGCACTCCAGTCGTCTTCTCATGTCTGTTCTTCAGTATGATGAAATCACTCAGGTCACTCTCCAATTGATCACTCTGCAATCGAAAGGCAATGGTCTCATTCAAGAGATTCGTCGCACGGGCTCTATTCGGCAGTGAGAGACTGGTTGTACAAGCTACGCCAGATCTCGAAGCCATTCCCCGTGTCTTCATTCCTACCAATCGCTCTCGCAGCTCTATCCGTGATCTGCGCCAACATGTATGCCAGTTGTTTAGCAAACAGTGACATTTGATTATTCTGGGTGGTAGTTTGCTGGACATCATAAGCTTCACACAATCCGTCAGTCACCACCTTCAGCTCAATCTCGTCCATTAGTGAGTTTGCCCGTGGTTTGTACAGTCCTACGTACCTCCTCATTTGCCACGACCAGTCATCCCAGGTCTCCAATTCTCCATGGTATTGTGGAGGTGGAAACAGTTTCAGTTCACCACAAATTCCTGTCTGGCCGCAATCCATTCTTTCTCACTTCTTCCCTTTCTCAGGACCCGAAGCTCCGTGTTATAACCAACCAAGGTCAATCGATTTCCCCAATCACAGCTCACTCCTGATTCCTTTGTGCAACCAAGCAGTCGTCCAGTCTTGAGCCAATGCCATTCGGCATTGTTGCATTCACAAATGCATCTTGAACATTATAGGGTCATTGGGCTCGCGTCATGTAACAAAAAAGAGAGAGGGGCAGCGAAGCTCCCTGCCCCACGAATGGCAATGCTGTAGTGCCACTGCAGTTTCCCAAAGGTGTCTCCATGTCGTAGTGCATGTAATCGCAGTTTGTCTCACCACTTCTCCGCACAAACGCACGCTCCGGGGGAACACTGCAAAGCCTATGCATAAGTTCAAACGTCCTGACAGATGATTGAAGACCGAAACAACATTGTCACGAGGCTGTACAGCAGTGCGGAACGATACTTCGACTTGTGGGGAAGCCCATTCACACTGGCAGACGTCGTGGCCTCAGAGAAGCGTCGAAGTCGCTTGTGGACGCTTAAGCGCCTGCCCCGGCAGGAGTGGTTGCAGTTCATCACTTACGATTCCAAGACTGAGACCTGAGAGAGAGGGCAAATGTTCGTTGGTGAAGCTCCGTGAAGCTGTGAAGTCATGGCTGGGGCGGCGCTAGGGCGTGGCGGAGGCGTGGAGGAGGCGGCGGCCCGGCGGAGGCGCGCGGGGGCGGAGGCCCGGGCTCTCCTCTTGGCAAAATCGGCGCTCCAAGGCTCAACGGCTCAGCTCCGGAGCAACGCTTTCTCCGTGCGCTGACAAAAAATCTGCAGGCGCAGCGCGTCGCTGCTGACTTTCGGGGGGTCCTTGCACAAAACCCTTAAGAGCACGGAGCAGCTCAGAGCTGTGCCGAAGCCTGTCCGGTTGTGCCTTCAGGAATGATGAGGACAACAGTAAAACAAGTCCGACAGCAGAAGTGGCAGCGAGTCAAAGGATCGCAGAGGTCTTCTCATCATGGTTCTTAGGAGTGCTTCCGTGTTCTGAAAGCGTGTTATGATCACACAGATCCACGACAACCTCCTCTAGCAACCTCCTCTAGCGGGCCTGTACTGTTTCGCTGTCCGCCGAGCATCTGCCGCTCTGGTCCTGGCCTTAGACTGTCTGAGAAGGTAACGTCGAGGATGGGGGTGATAGCGGCGCTAGTCGCAGAGAGGCACCAGAGTATAGCCGAGGCGAATGAGTTGGCAGGATTCGACGTATGGGTTTGTATCAGTTCTTCGTTGTTGCATGTCGACAAGCATGAGTGTTTTAGCTGGCTCGAATCTTGTTTACGGCCATGTTAAGTATCCCATGTTCATGGGCAACTCATTTGTTTGCAAGCAATGCCAGGTGTTTTATAGACAACGGACCACAAAATATTATGTTTCCAATAAGCAGAAACACATCGAATACCAGTGTCGTCATAGCTTTCTCCAACTAGGTCTTGGTATAGACCGTATGAGCCGGAACATTGAAAAAGTTTCAGTGTCTCAGTGTGCAGGAGGGTGAGGGGTGAAGCAACGGGAGGGGAGAGGGGTTGCTGGAACATAACACAGAGTGCGCCACCTCTGCTCCCACCCCCACTTACAAGCGTGAGCGTTAAGCGCATGGACTTATGGAAAGCGCGGTTGTTCACAAACAAACCCCGTGCTTCTGAACGAGACGGGCTGGGGTTTCAGAATTGATGTTGGGGTTGGAAATACACGCACGGACGCGTACCAAAACCAACTCACACGTGATCTTGGAAGACACATAATCACAAGTGTAACACTTGACGACTGCATCATACAACGCAAAGCCAACGTCCAGAACGAACAGCACTCGCGCCGAAGCCCCTAAGCAACAGTAGTATGCACAAACGCAGGCCCCAGAAGCTCCTGTTCTGTAAACGAAATCCACCATGCATCTTCAGACTAGCACGCGGAATCGTAACAGTATTGATATTAGGTTTGTACTCATAATCGCATCTTCATATATTCATATTCATGTTACTATGTCAGAACAAGACAAACGGTTGCTGGCCGCCGCCCTAGGCCCTAGGCCTGCTCGGCTGGATGGATGCCACTGAGCGTGACGTGAGGCACCTGAGAGAGGAATCCAAGGGATCAGACCGTTCTTTGTCAGCTCGTGGAGAGGCAGCTGTCTGAGACTTTGGACTTCCTGGAAGACCTCCTGGCACCCGGTGCGGAGGTGGAAGGGTCCGAGGATCTCTCGTCCTAGGGCTTCCACACGCCCCGTTTTGAGGTTGGGGACCTGTCTGAAGTGCTGGGTGGCACCCTCCGAGAGTGTCAAGATCTGCGGGACCGGCTGCAAGAGGCGGTGCCGGACATCTTGGATCGGGTGCGCCTTGCGATGGAATTAGCTCATTCGGCACTCATTCGTTTGTTTCGCTGCAGAAACACCGGCTGCTCTTTCTTCAGGATGGTGGTGAAGCCACCTTCAACCAGATCGCGGCGCTGCTGGAGCGCATGGAGCGGGTCAAGGACCAGTGGCAGGCGGCGCAAAGCGGTGCCGGCGGCGCCGGTGCCGGCGGTGGCCAGCGCAGCCCTCCCAGCGGTCCCAGCATGGCCGTGGCCCCCGGGGCCCAGTTGGCTGCGCCTTCGCTGCCAGCCTCGGCGCTGACCTCCGCCGCCTCCGGCTCTGTGCCGGCCCCAGTCGCGGCCGTCCCGGCTTCCGCACTGGCTTCAGCTTCGCCGGCACAATCGCATGCTTCCGAAGACATGTGGCGTCAAACCAGTGGTTTGGGTTCCATGGAGAAAGAGAAGGAGAAGAAGAAGAAGCGGAAGGAAGGGAAGGAGTCCAAGGAGAAAGATCTTGGGGATCAGGGCAAGGAGGGCAAGGGGAGCGAAGATGGCTTCCCGGATAGCTTTGGAGCTTGGCCGGACTCTGGCGAGGCTTCTGCTTTCCCAGAATCTTTTGGTGGATGGGGCACCGCGCCTTTGGGCTCAAGCCCCGCCCCTTTCGAAGCCTCGAACTGGGCCACAGGGGTTTCAGCAGAAGGCCTAACGACGACCCCGGGCCCCTGCGGCCCCTGCGGCCCCTGCGCTTCGGCCGGTCCCAGTCCTTTTGCAGCTTTTGGAATGCCAGAACCCTCAGCGCCCATTGCTCCGAGCTCCCTGCTGGGAGATGCGAATGCCCAAGCCGAAGGGACCTTGGCGAGTCTTCATGTGGGATTTCCCTTTGCGGCGATTTCGGAGGACAAAGAGGCCTTCGAGCGGCTCTTTGTCCGTGCCGCAGCGGCGGCTGCCGGGGTAGCACCAAGGCGCATACGAGTCCACGCTGTGCGTCCGGGCCCGGGCTACTAACAGTGTCTCACCCTTCTGCGAGCTGCACTCTGTGCCACGAAAAGAGAGCTGCACCCTGCACTCCCTGCACTCTGCACAGTACTCTATCACTCTCTGTGCACAAGGCAACTTCACCAGGTCCGATATGCCCCTCCCGAAGCTTACACGGCTCTGCAGGGTGGTGGGGGGGGCGAGCTTTCTTTGGGTTCTGGGACGAGCATTCTTTGGGGCGGCGCCATGTCATGATGTCATGGACTGGTCCCTTGGCGTCCACGGCCCGGACCAGAAGATTTATTGCCCATTGCTCGGATGTCCACTCGAATGATGTGAAGAAGAGAGAAGAGAGAAGAGGCGCGCTGTGAAATTTCAGGTGTCCCCGACACGGCCACCCAGGCAGCGCACTGGCAGCGCACTGGCAGCGCGCAGTAGGTGCCGTGCGACCCGAGAAGCAGGTGCTTTGCTACGATCCGCTGACGGGGCAGAGCTCCTGCTTCGGAGCGGAGACCATCGATGCGGGGGCCCAAAGCTCGAGAAGCAGAGCTGCAGGGCCTGGAGTGGGAGCGCCTCGCTTCAAGATGTCTAGGTGGGCAGCCACAAGCGCTACCCTCAGCTTTTGCCGCACTGCGCAGCACTGCGCGATGCCCGCTCTTTTGCAAGGTGGTCGGGGGGCGTCTTGGCCAAGGACGGGAAGATCTACTGCGTGCCCTGGACCCATCCACAGGCCAAAGACAGGACATAGGACAGACTCTTTTTAGGCCTCTGTTAAGGGACGGGTCTTCTCCAGGTCCTGGTGATTCATTGCGAAGCCAAGCGGGTGTCTTTCTTGGACACCTCCACCGGAACGGGCTGCACCGCAGCCTCTCTCTCGGAGCACAAGTGGAGCTCCGCAGAGTGCGAGAGCGCAACGACAAGAGAGAAGAGAGAAGTGGTTTTTGGTTGCTTCGGCGCAGGAGGGATGGCATCCTCTCCGAGGCGAGGGCGCTCAGAGCGTCTAGCAGTCTGGCTGTTTTGCTCAAGTCTTCGGAGCTCTTCGAGGATGGCTGGGCGATTTACTGCATCCCATGGACGGCCGAGGACCAAAAGACGAAGATACTTCCTAGACTCTAAACTCTAAACCCGAAGAGGATATTGAAGATCTGACCTCTACCTCTGGCAGGCCGTGCTGCGCATCGACGTCGCCAAGGGCTCGGCAAGCTGTCCGCGCCCCAAAGCAACCGCGGACCGCCCCTGCCCCCAAAGCGCGGTCTCCCAACAACCCTTTGAGGCTTCGGAGAGCTGCCTGCAGGCGACAGCAAATGGGCAGGCCAGGGCTGCCCTCAGGGCCCACCTGGCTTTCCTGGCGCCCGAGCCTGAGCTCCCGCCGCCGAGGTGCTGCGGTCGGCAGCGATGGGCGCATCTACTGCCCCTTGGACAGAGCAGCAGAGCAGAGCCAATTAGCAGAAAATCAATGATTTTTTCTGACGCCCCGAAAACTGTGAGAGGCGCACCTTACGACTCGGCGAGTTGCCTGGTGATCGCTCCCGGCCCCGGGGAGCCCACGGCCTCGCTCCTGGGCCACTTCGGGGACTTACGCAGGAAGTGGCCCGGGGCCCGGCGAAAAGGACTGCGCAACACCGCCTCGCCTTCGGCTCCAGGCGCGGAGCCGTGGCCACCCCGGGCGGCGAGCAGATCTACATGGCAGCTTGGCAGCGGCTCGTCTTCTCTTCTCCGATTGGAATTAGTTCAACCTGGCGCGATGAGCAGCAGCGTCTCTCTTTGGCATCGAGACCCTGCACAATCGCTTCGGAATACTACACTTGAGACCTCTGTACATACTCGTTGTGTATATATATATATATATATATCTCTCTCTCTCTCTCTCTCGCTCTTTCTTTGACTGGGCTTCCTATCGTCTGCAGTTCAAGCCTTGGTTGTTTTCATTTGAGATCCCGTACAACGCCCTGGAGGCACAGTGGGAGGGCGGACAGCGTTTAAAGTTGTGGAGTGCTAGGTGCTTTTTGAAAGGTGCTTGTGGTGGAGCCTGAAGCCGTGCCGGCGGCGGGAGTCGCTGCTCATCTCACGCCTTCGCCCTCCTTGGCTCCACGTCCCGCGGATGCGAAGGATCCACAGCAGGCCAGAGAGGAGCAGAGAGGAGCTTTGGGCTTTGCTGGTGGATTCCGACTTCGCTTCCTCGCAGGTGGCGCAAGCGGGCTGGGCCCAAGCGAGGGCCCTCGCCAGGTTTGGCGTGGAGCCCGAGGACCACCTTGAGCCCGATGAAGCCGCTCCAGCAGAGCCAGCAGAATCGGTGGAACCGGCAGAGGCAGAGAGTTCCCCCAAAAAAAGACATCCCAGACGCGACACTGAGAGGTCAAAGCTCCGACTGCAGGATTCTCCAAGCTGGGTGACTTGGCGCTTGAACTATCGCCGAATCACCTCCATGCACGTCAGAGGAGCCTTGTCTGAGGTTGGGTGGGGGGAATCCGCCAGATCCCGAGAATCGACACCTTGCTCCCGCCGCGCTCGCGGTGTTCCCAGGTTGCAAGTGGCGGGGTGGAGTCTTGGCAGCTCAGCTCCAACGAGAATCCGCTGTGCTGTGAGACAATCCCATCTCGGCCCAGCAAATTACCGCCAATGCCCCTAAAGCCTCAAGTAGCCCTTTCGGATGCCATCGCCAGGCCAAGGACGGCTACATTTACTGCGTGCCAGACTGTGCCTGCGAGGCGCCTTGCAAGCGCCACATTGGGAGAAGCTTCGCCTTGGCATGAGGGCCCGGGCCGGAAGTTTTAGTTGAAGGGTTTGCAGGGCCTGGGCTTAAAGTGATGCTTCGATCGGTGCTTGACAGCTGCGTCGCGTGACAGGTGCTCTGCATCCGCCCGGCGTCCCAGGTGCCCCATGCAGAGATCTGTGCCCACAGCTCGCCCTCCGGCCACCCCAAAGTCTCTGCATTTCGCAGGATGTGCTGCTCTTCGGGGAGGCGAAGAACACTGAAAAAGCGCATAGCGCACATAGCACACACGGCACAGCTCAGCAGAGTCAAAGTGCACACCGTACAACACCTCGGCGCGAGGTGGGCTCTGCTCGGTGGAAGTGGCGAGGGGGCGTGCTGGCCTGGGCCCCGCAGGGCCTTGCCAGTGTGCGGAGTGCGCAGCGCAGAGGAGACAGGGCCGAGAGGAGAGGTCTCTCTTCGTGTTCGCGTTTGTGGCGTCACGAGGGGCGAGACGGGAAGGTCTACTGTGCGCTCGGAGCTCGGGTGCTTGCGGCGCTTTCAGCAATCGGCTTCGTCTCCTTTGTAGAAGCTTCCTGCAGGCCCTACGAAAGTCATGAGAGTGTTTTGGTCATCGACCCGGCGACGCTGAAGACCTCACCCTTGCCACCGAAGGCAACGTTGTAAGGGGAGCGGCAGCAAGGCGCAGCAGCGGGTCAGCTGAGTCCTTCTGAAAGGGCCTTTCCCTTTCTTTCTGCTCACTGCCCGGCTTCCTGGAGACCAGCCAAGGCCCGGCCTAGGCCCAACAATTTGCAGTTCTGCGGCCACCGGCCAGGAGAAGTGCTCACCATCCCCCACACTTAGAGGACAAGCCGGCCCAAAGCGGCTGCAGAGGACGTCTGCGCTTCCCTCAAAAAGGCCTCGCTCCGCTCGCTGCTTGCACAAGTTACAAGTTTGTCTAGGTTCTGTGAAGCAAGATTTCGCGACGGCTGCATGCTGCAACATCTGCGAGATCACCAAGTCGGGCTGCGTAGTTAGGAGATTCCAAGCATCGCCATGGCTACGGAGGCTGGACATGCCATCATTTACGCCCAGACTCCAGGCAGCCACAACATCCGAATCTCCTTCGTTCTGGCCAGGTGTGTCCAAGGCAGAAGCAGTTGACAAGCAGCCAGTTTTTGCAGCAGCCTCAGAGATCGGGGCAGGAATAGAAAGTTTGTTCCCGTTTTCAGACTGAGGAGTCTGCTCGCGAAAGTCCAGCAGGAAAACGCAGCTGGAGACCTCCAGGTACGGCATGCAGCTGTTGCAAAACTGCGCCGCCGCCAAGATGCAGCATGCTTTTTAGGCTCCGGCTGTTGACTGTTTTTTGCCAGGTGAACGAGTACGTCATTTACTTGGACAAATCTGCGGGCACGAAATTGGGCATCAGCATCGTCCACGAGGCCTTAAGTGGGCATTGACAACTGGGCAGCCCATGGTCTACAAAGCATGCTACGAAGTATGAAAACGGCTACCCAAGCGTGTGCATCGAAGTGTATGTGTAGATATGCATGTGTTGCAAGGAGGGAACTTTGAGCCAAAAACAAAACACACTACACTTGCAATTAAAGGACCGGATAACCCCACATGACAGCGATACTCTGGTCAGCATCAAAGCAGTGCAAAACATAGTGGTTGGATACGTAAACATGCGTGCGCACTTCGCGTGGGTGTCCGCGCCGGTTGTGTGTGTGTGTGTGTGTGTGTGTGTGTGTGTGTGTGTGTGTGTGTGTGTGTGTGTGTGTGTGTGTGTGTGTGTGTGTGTGTGTGTGTGTGTGTGTGTGTGTGTGTGTGTGTGTGTGTGTGTGTGTGTGTGTGTGTGTGTGTGTGTGTGTGTGTGTGTGTGTGTGTGTGTGTGTGTGTGTGTGTGTGTGTGTGTGTGTGTGTGTGTGTGTGTGTGTGTGTGTGTGTGTGTGTGTGTGTGTGTGTGTGTGTGTGTGTGTGTGTGTGTGTGTGTGTGTGTGTGTGTGTGTGTGTGTGTGTGTGTGTGTGTGTGTGTGTGTGTGTGTGTGTGTGTGTGTGTGTGTGTGTGTGTGTGTGTGTGTGTGTGTGTGTGTGTGTGTGTGGTACCGTGCTTGAACGGATGTGTTTAGTAGTGCACGCAACGGCCCCCGCCGAAGCCATCCGGTTCGAGCGGGGATCCGTTTCCGCAGTTTTTCTGTAGGGTCCTGGAATCCCGTTCCTGGATGGCTCGAGGCCAGACTGGTCTGTTGCTCTGCCTCTGTTGTTCTTGCTTGCTCTGCCCTTCCATGGAAGGCAGACGACGAGGACGACATCATCGACGTCGCTCTTCGACGTCTTCTTCCCGCGACACATACGGATAGTGGGGACTTCGACGCCTCAGGACTCCTTTGCTCCTATGCGTCAGGTCTGTCTGTTCGTTTGCTGCTGCAGCTGTTCTTGAGGGACTTGGTCTATTCCGCAGCCGTCTTGATCACGTCTGCTGTGCCCCCCCTTCGTCCTTTGCCTCCGTCTGCCTACAATGACGGCTTCATCCGCTCCTGGCCCTGCTCCGGACCGCTCTTCTGAGCCCTCACCTTCTGATCTCCGGATCCACCTCGTGTGCGCTCCGCTGAGGCTCCCGCCGCTGGTCCGGCGCCGGCCCCTTCCCCTACCTCTTTGGCAGACGCCGCTTCTGAAACTGATGTTCCGGTGGCCCCTGCAGAGGTCGAACCGACTCGGTTTCTGGAGCCGGAGACAGGTACTTTGGCCGCTTCCGCCGAGCCAAAATCCTCTGCTCCGGCTCCGCCGTCTGCCGCTTGGAGCGACATCGTGTCGTTCCTTGACTCTCCGGAACCGGCCATAGCCGCTGCTTTTTCGAGCCTCCCGACTTCTGATCTGCTCCGCTTGAGTGCGGGTACTTTGTCTGCCATTTCCGCCAGGCTCGCCTGGTACGACGGCAGCACCGCACCCGCCCTGCCTCCGGTTGTTCCTGCCCGTTAGACAGAGCAGGTCAGAGCAACGCCGGACTTACGCCCTTTGTTTTCCCACACGGCAACCAAACGAAATCTGAATCAGCATAGATGCTACCTGACCTGTACAAGGTACTCTGCTCCACAAAGTAATGAGAATCGCAACATCTACAAGTCTCAAGTGAAAGATTGTACACTAGGCCTCCTACGACAGCACCTATCAGTTCAGCTTCCAATCTTTCCAGCTAACCACCAACCGCATCCAATCCCGAAGCCTACAATGAAGCTCTGCACGAATGTCTGGGGCTCGGTCAACTGAACTGAGGACGCAGCTCGCGCTCCCGACACTTGAATAAGCAGCAACAGGGCAAGCAAGGCTTTTGCAACATTGGACTGCTCACAACTCATCGCGGCTACTTGGGGTCTTGGGGGATCCTTAACATCCTCTAAGCTAGGCGCCAACAGATCACACACCCTAATAAGATCTTCTAATCTAGCCGGTCCTACATATTTCGTTCCCAGGTCCGCTGGCATGTAAACCCCATCTAAGTGCCTCAACTGCCAAAGACCCTCTTCTAGGTCCTGACGAATCACTGCACCTCTCAGACGCAAGTGACGCATGCGCCACGACCCTGATTCCAACACACACAGTTGGATTGCTGCGCAGTTGTCACAATGCAATCGGCAATCTATCCCCTTTTCAGGAACGTCCATCAGAGCTGCTACCGTAGGTCTCATAGCTTTACCAAGCAAATGCGATTCGCTCAAGGAGTACAACTCGCTTTCCGCTGTGTGAGCTGCTGTAAGAGTCTGCCTGCTGCATGTCCAAAAGATCAAAGCGCCTCCCCAGAAAAGCTGAATGCATCCATAGCTGCGGCTCTTCTCATCCGCAGCAAAAGAAGCGTCTGAAAAAGCATCCAAACTTTCTCTAAGCTCACGAAACTTCAGCTGTTCCCACTTGCCGCACCGACCCGTCGGCATCTTGTAGTGAAGGCCTATTCCGGGAGCATTCCGGAGATACCTGATCACATGCTCTGCCCTTTCCACCGCCTCACGAGGAGAGGGCACGATCTTCTGGGCAGCGACGCTCACAGCATAACTGATATCTGGACGGGTACGACCCGAAAGCCACAGCAGCTGGCCCACCAATGTCTGAGCTCTCTTCGTAAGTTTCAACTGCTCATCCCGATCAGCATGATCTTCGCATTCACTCATTTTAATGGCCGGCACTCGCTCCACCCCCTGCACCGTATCTTGATATTGATCAAGCAGGTCCTTGGTGTAGTTCTCCTGGTGGAGACGAATCCCCTGACTTGTTTTCTCCAGCTCGAAGCCCGCAAACTTCAGGCAGTTGCCTTCCACCGACAACCAGTCCGGGGCTGACAGTTCCCAATGAGACTCCAGTCCTCGAACGACAGCTTGGGCTACATCCTTTTCCGACGCGACTAAGATATCGTCGACGTACAAAGCTATAATCCCGATGTACTGACCCTGCAGAAACCCTGCTTCGCCAGTCCCGGTCTCAGGATCACTGCCTTCACGCGGACATTTGAGGATACGCCAGAGATTGGCGTCCTCCTTCAGCTTTTGAAGCCTCAGGACGCTATCACCATACTCAATCCGAAGATCAGCCATCACACGGTCTCTATGTGTACTCCACGAGCGCGGTGCCGAGTTCAGGCCATAAAGGGCCTTCTTGACTTTCCAGTACTTCGCTACAGTTACCCCTGCCTCCCTCAATATGTTTGGAACCTTAACAACTGTGACCTTCTCCTTGCCACCCTTCCGCATTTCCATAAGTGGCGCCTGCAAAAAGGCTGTTTTCACATCAACCGAGACCAGATGCCAAGATGGTTCCATATCACGTTTGCGGATCATCATACGAATGGACTCTGCGCCAGCTCCACTGGCAAAGAGGTCCGCTTTGGGAGCGCCACTGTCATGTTCACAGAAATTCCCACAGCCAACCATCCTCGCTCTGCGTCGTCCGCTGGGCTTCCAAACATACACCATCTTACCAGGGATCAACTCTACATGCACTGAGCTGTCACTCACCAACTCGTTGTACTGAGCCTCCGTGAGATCCTCAACCGCTTCCGTCTTCTGAACCAGGGACTCAACTTCCTCTCCCATCGAGCCTCGCCATTTTTCCAGCTCCTGCCGCACCTGTTGTTGCGACACGATCTTGGTCTGCAGCGGTGGAGAATCTTCACACCCTTCAGAGGTTACTGCTTCTTCACTATCCGACAGCACTGTGGCGCTGCAAACACGCGGCATATCAAGACCTCCGATCTCAGCACACTCAAGCCGCCTCAGCGCCTTTTGCTCTACCCCTTTAAGAATCTGAAGCTCCTTTTCCAACTCTTGAACCTCCGTGAATATAGCTTCGTCGCACCCTTTTAGCCAACCCTCAAGGTCATCATGAGGAGCCTCCAACATCCGACTTCTGACATAATGCGCATGTGCAAGGGACTCAGCAGCCTCCTCAATTCCCCCGTCTATTGGCCAACTGACACGATCTAAGCTGTAGGCAACACTCTGATTTTGCACAGAAGATGGACACAAGCTAAGACGTTGCAACACCTCCGGAACTTCGTACGGGAATGGATCAGCCTCACTTTCACAGCTGCTCTCCACATCAGAAACCTCCGTCTGCAGGCGTTTGCACAACTTCTGGATTTCAACTGCAAGGCACTCATGCATCACATTCCTGGGACACCGAGCTGGAAACTCTTCACAGACCGTGACCTTATACTTAGGCCGAACACAGTACTCCAGACCCTTATCCTGAACCCCACCTACAAGACTATCACATCGGATTCTGGGGCAATCCAGGCCTGCGGAAGTTCTCACAGAGCCTTCACTAACAGACCTAGAACCACTGTTGATCGCACTCCCTGAGAGATCCCACGACCGTGTCCCACTCGGCTTGGGAACAGGTTGCAAGCTCTTCAAGCTATAGCGACTAGCAAACCGGACACCCCAACCCACAACCGGCGCTGGCGAAACCGCTGTCCTGTCATTCCTTTGCACACCTGCTTCAACACACCGACCTCTCGCCTTACCTTCTGCAGTAGCTGAACCGGATTCTACAGTGACTTCCCTAGCATCCCGAATCCTACTCCTCGCTCTAGCCCTAGCTGGTGGAATCACAGCTGAATGTCCCAACACACCGTTGACTTCCTGGCCACCTCCATGCCCTCTCCCACTCAAAGCGTTCCTTCGCTCAAGTTCGGGTCCTTGCAGCAACGAAAGTCTTTCCTGGCCATGCGGAACCTCAACAATACCTTCAACCTCATGCTTTTCAACAATCCCCGGCTGTTGCGAATTTTTCGGGGGGTGCAGATCCCCCCCCCCCCCCCATCCTGAGGATGGGCGCTCCGAAGCACCCGAAGGCGAAACACTGAACAACCCGTCCATGCAGAAGCCGCAGCCTTGCCTCTACCATCGCGCCAGCGATGAAAGGTCCTCACCGGAAGACGTCCCGGAAA